TGCCTGTGCGTCCAGCACTCCGCCACCCGCCTCCAGCCTGGCTCCTTCGGGCAGCTCCTGCTCAAGATCGCCAAGGCGATCCGCGAGACCGTCTGGGTCAGTCTCAGGCCGGGCAGCGAGGGGTCCCTGGGGGCTGTGGCCACAGGGGCACGTCCCTTGTCCTGCCTCTGGCCTGTCCACACCTCCAGCCCGGGGCGCCGCTGTGGCCCTGCACCCTCGTGGGGTCAGCCGTGGCTTCCTGAGCTTTGGTCCTGTGTCCTCCCCTGGCCCCGCTCGGCCCCGCCATGTGCCTGGGAACAAGGTGCTAGGAGCCCTGAGCCTCCATGTGGCCTGGATGCCCCGTGCTTCCTGCCGGGAGCAGGGTGAGCCCTGCCGACCCACTGCAGCGCCTTTGGGACGCGGTGGTGGGGGCCCAGGACCAACCGGCCGCCTTCTGTACATGGAAACCTCCCTCCAGGGCGGTCCCTGGGCTGAGGCCCCTGAGCCTCCAGGAAACGCTGGCCGTCCCCAGCCCGGGATGTGTAAACGCCGGTGCCACCCGCGGGCTCCTGTCCGCTGCCGCATTGCACTGGGCTGACGTTACAGTCCGGGCAGCAGGGCCTCCTCCTGGCACGTGTGGAGCGTTTGCTGTTCCTGAAACGGCCGGAGGCTATGGAAGCTGGCGGCCGGGAGGCACTCCTGGGGCAGGAAGTGCGGAGGTCACACTCTGACGGGTGGGAAGGTGTGGAATCCAGTGGGAAACGCCTTCCCGTGGCCGCAGGGCCGTACCGCGGCTTCTGGTTCCTCACGCTCGCTCTCTTGTCCTTTGTGATCGTAGGAGAAAACCAAGGAGCTGGCGGAGAAGCAGGCGCCCCTGTAAGTACTTCCCTCGCTGCCCCGCCCGCCCCAGGCCGCTGGCTCCCAGGTGGACCAGTGCGTCCACCCAGCCAGCCCCAGGGCCCTGCCGTGCGCTGTCACGCTGTCCCTGCCCGAGTGGCATTTCTGTCCCTTAAAGCTGGCCTGACTTTATTGCAGTGTGGACCCTTGACAGGTGTGCAGAGTCACGCTGGCCACGGGCTGTGACGCACAGCAGGCGCCCTGCCTGCGGGGGGTGATGGGACGTCGTGCCCACGGATGAGCCACTCCCCACGTCTCCCACCCCCACCCCCGCCCCCACCCCCTTCCTGCTCCGAGTCAGGAGTGTGGCTGTTAGACCAGCGGTCGCCAACCTTTCGGACCTCATGGACCAGCATGTGGCTTCCGCTGGTTTAGACCTCACACGTGGAATTGACAGGGTTGTCCTGCTGTGATCGGCTCCTTCTGCTTGTG